TGCCCTCTTCCTTGGTCAGGCCGGCCATTCTTTTTTACTTTAAACTCGCGTTCTCTGTGGTCTTTCACACTACTGATATTTATTCCGTGTCTAGATTCCCAGGGTTTGTTTTGCCATGCCTGGGAGTTCACCCGGTTCAAGAGGTTTCGCCAGAGGAGCAGCGCAGTGCTACTTTGAAGGTAAAACACAGGCAACTTAGATTAGCGCAGCTATAAAATACCGCTGGGACTGCTCAGGGCAGCTGACAGGATGCTCTCTGGTCTGCCTGATTTAACTTCAGATCTGCCCAGTGATTTTTCTGCGCTTCTGTAATACGGGAGACCCGGTGGACCAAATCCCAGGGTCTCTTAGTACATCTATTTGTCCGTGTTAGTCCTAAAGTAGAATTGTTCACTGGAGTCATCTGGCCATATTACTGCAGTGAAGCAGTTTTAAAAATCCCAAGTGAGTGCTTTGCTTACAGCAGACAGCACGCGTGTGTGTGTTTGCAGATGTCCCTTTGTTAGCATGGGAAGTGGAAGGCGACCGTTTGTGCCCTTGGCCTGAAAAACTTGTAGAGCTGTCTGCAGCCATTTAATGTTACCAAGCTTTTTATGGGCCTTGTTTTAATTACCTCTTCTGTTCCTGTGGAAAGATAACTTAAAATGAAGGGTCATTAAGTAAAGAAGGGAAGTCCTGCAGGTTTCTAAAATCTGTCTGACCGCACAACTCACAGTAATAGCAAGTTTTAAGGTACAGAATTTAAGAACAATGAAAGAAACTCCAATTTAGTCATAACGCTGAGTTCATACTACTTCCATCTTGTAAGGGCAGTGAGGGTTGTGTCTTTAATTTGTTCTTGCAGGATCTGGATGCTGCATGGCCACTTATAGAACTCTACAAAGATAAATTGGTGGGGATCGGAGAAGTAAGTAGAATTCCGTAACTTGTTTAAATGTCTATGGCTTTGGCAGCATCTGTCACCAGAATTACAAAAACTTAGTGAATACTTGGTTTTGTGTATGCCATAAGTATTGCTATCAGTCTGAACAAGCGCTAAGTCTGATTTGTAATTCTCTTAATGTGCTTTCCTTCATAGATTTGCCCGATTCCCTCTTTTCCTTCATTATCATTATTAGGAAATAAATGGCATTTATGCTGGTGGATTTAGTAGGAAGAATTGCATAATTATGCTATATCATCTTATACCCAAATGTCTTTTGACCTATGCTCTGGCACAGTGAAGTGTCAAGTCACATTGTTGTCCTCGTGCAGATCCTTCCTGCCTTCTTCCCTGACAAAGTTAAGCTAAGCTATGATTTCAGTACACGTCACCAACTTGTACAGTCCTTTTTTCTTGTGATCCCTCATCTGTTTGTGTCCATGTTTTGTCTCATGTCTTATATTTCTTTATAAACTAATTGAGGCTTGAAAGCTGTAGGGTAGAGTCTGCCCCTTTTGTGTGTTGGTAGTGGAGGGACTTACGGCTGGTTCTGCACCGGCTGCAGAAAAAGCAGATATTGGCAGAGCTTTGTAGCTAAACTTGCCATGTTGTACTCTATATCAAGGACTTCGGTTGATGTAACTGTGAATGGGGCTGCTTTGACAAACTTTAAATTTTGCCTGAACATACTTAAATAAAAAAAGTATAGAATTAATGGGTAATTTTTGCTAGACATAGGACTAAAACTACAGGTTCAGTTCAGAAATTTTGCTTGTATTGGAGATCCAGATTTGAAATTTATTTTGAAATAATATTCAATAGAATATAAAACCCCAGAAAACCAGTTACAGATTAAAATGTTAAATACACTTGTTAGTAACTGTTTGCCCACAAATGCTTTCATAGTTGAAAACCTTATGGTTGAGAATGGATTCCTCTCTGAGTTAAGCTACAGTTGAGCTCATTTTAATTGCAGTCTCTAGTACATATATTTTGAAATGCCTTGCAGTTTTGAAGCATTTTTTGCCTTTATATAGGTATTGTGGTTTAGTCAAGTGTTAGGTCTGTAAAATTTTTTCACTTCTCTTCTTGTACCGTAGGTTGGACTAGATTTCACTCCCAGATTTGCCAGCACGGATGAACAGAAGGAAGGACAAAGACAGGTTTTGATCAAGCAGATTGAGTTAGCAAGAAGATTGGATTTGCCTTTGTAGGTTTTGTTTATACTAGTAGGAGAATTTGCCAGATCTCAGTAACATATGGAAATATCTCCCAGGATATATAGTTACTAAGAGCCCACGGAACTCTTCTTACATGGATTAAACTGGCATTAGTGTCCTATCAGTCTCCAGCCTGAGATTTAATTATAGAATTTTCCCTATGTTTGCACTTGAATACTGTGGTCTTCTGTGTCCTGTCCTTGCTATGTTGTTGCTATATCTTCACTGTAGCTAAAATGATTCATATATATGTCTCTAGATTTTTTTCCTGAAAAAAGGTGTAATACAGATTAATTATTTTCTTCCCAAGCTGCTGTTAGTTCGTTTGTGTTTACAAAAAGAAGTATTTTGCTGAATTTCCTAATGCCGGGCCTCTCCTTGCTGTGCAGAAATGTTCATTCCCGCTCAGCTGGAAGACCAACCATTAATCTCTTAAAGGAACAAGGTATGTTTTTAATGCATTTTCTCCATCATAGCTTTTGTCAACAGAATTTCTTCAGTTGTGCCATGTCCTCACATCAGTTTTTGTACATAAAACTGGGGAGGAATAGTGCAGATATTCTGTATTCATTCTTTATGGGACCAAGGTCCCATCGGAAGCTGACATTGCAGACCTACTGTAAACACTGCTAATGATTTGGTTGGCTTCTTTTCTCTGAGGTGCTACAAAGGTGTTGCTCCATGCATTTGATGGGAAGCTATCTGTAGCGATGGAAGGGGTGAAAGCTGGATACTTCTTCTCCATTCCTCCTTCCATTATAAGGAGTGAACAGGTAACATTTACAGGGATTTGCTCCTTCTCGGTGCTTGGGGATTGCACATAATAGCTGACAGCTTGTCATGATGGCGAACATGACTGTTTTCACTGTGCAGCTCAAGAATATGCTTGGTTTTAACTGTACAGTTTGAAGTGGGACTAGCAGTGCTCGCAGACGGTTGCTGTCACCTGATGCTTCTCAGTAGAAGTTTCAGTTGCTTATAGTGTTGCACATTGTTACTTTGGCTAAATTTCTACCTGAGGCTTTTGTCTTAGCTAGACTTCTGGGGGGAAATTTTGGCTAAAACAGTTCAGCTATTCCTGAGAAACAAGGGTTAAGAAAATAGGCGTTTTCTTGTCATTTTAATGTGGTTTCTGGTGAACTCTTCTTTGGAAGCTTCTGTCGCTGTACTGTTTTAGAGCAGGGACATGACGTGGAAAAGGACTAGTTTCTACCTCAGTGCTATGGCACTTTCTGTTCAAAAGGAAATCTGCTCACAATTGGCTAAGTTACAGACCTTTGAAAAACTGCGATTATCACAAGGTGCATCCAGCAAAGAAGTGGCTAAATTGCTTGAAGACGGCATTGGTCAGGTTCAGCCCTTGATTTGATGAGACTGCTCTTTTAATTTCTACTCCGGGCTGCTGCTAACTTCATAGTCTGCTATGCTAACTTCTTATAGGCGCTTGCTAGGCTGTTTCCATCCTGCACCATCATTGCTTTCTGTGATAAGCCTAGGAAATGTAAGAAAGGAAAAGGCATGATTCAAGTGGAGGGGGTGTGAGGGATGGATATAGATGGGGATGAGGTTAGGAACTTGGAGAAAGGAAAGCAAACTGGAATTGAGGGGTAAAAGCGGAGATGGGAAAAAGGTACACAGCTATTATATATACAGAAAAATAGCAAATTAAAATTGCATTGGCAGCTCTAAATATAGGGTATTTTGTGCAATATAACTACATGATTTAACAAATAACAATGGATTCAGTGTTTAGATAATAGTACTTCAGATATTTAGAAAACAGGATAATCCTAATTTGAAGGGACTTCTTGAGCAGCTCCTGGTATCCTTCCTTCCGTTCTGAAATTGTTGATAAAATGCAGACAGTCTTTTGACATTGCTTTTAAATGCAGAGGATCTCCTCCCTTCATACATTTTTTTCTCACGGGTCTAAGTGCATAAAGTGTTTAATGGCTATCTTATTTTCTTCAAGAAGCAGAAGCTTGTGAAACTGTTACCTCTGGAAAATATATGCTTGGAAACTGACTCTCCTGCTCTGGGGCCTGAAAAACAGGTAAATGATGGGGTGGGGGGACTGCTATGTATGTATATCCAAACCCACACCTTATGGAGGTCAGTTACTGGCACGGGAGAGTGAAGTAGTGCAAACATGGGTACAAAGGACGAAAGAGGTCGCCAGGTGAAAATTTTGAGATGAACAAGTCAGTGTTCCTGGGGCTGGGAAAGGAGAAGAAATTCCAGGAATGGGCAAAGGGGAAAATAATTCAGGAAGAATAAATACATGTAATTTCTCTGGCACACATGCCATAATGTGACTGAAGTTGTGTCAGGAAGTACTGAATCTGAAACACCTGTGACCTGTAGGGATTGTAATTTGGGTTTTTTTTGTTTATTTTCAGGTGAGAAATGAACCAAAAAATATTTACATTGCTGCAGAATATATTGCCAAAATTAAAGGAATTCCAGTTGAAGAAGTTATAGAAGCGACTACACAGAATGCACTGAAAGTATTCCCCAAACTTCGGAACTTTCTTCGGATATAGATTCAGAAACTGAAATATATGACATTGCAGAAACTATTATTTATGGCGTAATTAATAAAACCAACATGCATCTTATCTTCAAGTGGAGTTTTGCTGTTGAAAAGTTCAAAAAGTGAGCAGAGTGCTATATAGATGCATAGGATGAATATAGGGAATTTCTCAAAGATGTTTGGTATGCACCATTGTCATGTCTTGGATGTGATAAAGACAGGTTGTTCATTTGCATCTCTCGTGTCTCTGAACAAATACTTTGTAAAGAAGAGCACCATAAAATTGTCAGTTTAGTTTCTCAGACTCCTTGCTCAGCTGCCTCTAGTCTGGGAGATGGCTGATGTGCGGTGCTTAATGTCCCCCTCATCCCTTAATTTCTGCTGACTGAAAGTCATAGGGTTGTGGGCCTACTCGTGATACAAAAGCTCCTGTTAGGACTTGTCGACTGTACATCCTTTTCTGAGCCATTAAAGAAACCCAGTTGGATGGACGTTCTCTGTATGTCGTGTTGACTGGGCTCTGCGAGTGGTGCAGAAGCAACACCTGATTTCCTTAAAAATACAGTTGGAAGGAAAGAATTACAGCCCTTCTACTCCTTCTCTCCTTTTCCCTTGTAAACAGTTGCTTAGATCTTGGCTGTTTTGAGAAGGATTTGCTTTGATTTTTTGTATTTTATTTTTTGAATCATATTCAAAGGAAAAAAACTGGGTTTCGTCTTATTTCAAGGACTTACTCTTCTGACTGCTCAGTATCAGGAGATACGGGATGTGATAGGGAGACAAGCCCAATTTTGTGAGATCTTGGAGGCACCTGTCTGCTGTGGATTCTGCCACGTTGGCCAGTGTCCTAAAAACTGAATCTTGTGCTCTCTCACAGTACCTGTGTGGACGTGGGCCTGTTGAAATACTCTTGAAAATTTTGCTGACTATAAACCAGCAATGAACGAGGCGAGTTATATATGACACTCAATTGTTCTGAGGGCCACTAGGGAAGTGGAGGCTTTGCCTCCCTAGAGGGGGGGGTTTACTAGCTCAGTGGAGAAAATACGCAAGTGTTAACTTAGTCCATCACCACCTCGGGTACAAAATCATGCATCATACCAGCCGATGGTGAGAGCATTTGGGTTTAAGATTTGGGCAAGTGTCTTCTATGTGTCGGGTACCTGTGATTTTTCAGATTAGACTCCTTCCTGTCTTCCTGGTTAGAACATCTTACCAGTTGCCCCTTTGCAAAATGGTTTGTAATGCCCTGTTCTGAAATCATCTGATGTCTGCCTTTTGGGGTGTAGGACTGCAAGGCAAGGGTTTGGGGCTTTTTCCTGTTTCAAGGAGGATACAGGTGGGGAAGGTATCAGCTCCCAGATAGAGAGGGGGGGGGAAAGGGAGCAAAAGCTTGTAATGTAAGCAATACCCATCTTAAACTTTTGGTTTCCTCTACATTTTCTTCCTCAATTTCTTAAAACCATACTGTCAGGTTTTTTTGCTCTTTAGCAGAACAGCTGTGTTGTTCTGCTTTTTGCCTAGAGTTAGCTTATTAAGTTTAAACATAGTTCCTAAACAGTTTTCAGCCTGCAACAAGCAACCAAACTTGAATCATTTGTCTCTATTACAACATGTATTCAGAGCAGCAAACACCTGAATCTTTGGTGAATGTTTGACCCAGAGTAGTTAGAGCCATTTGAAGGACAGAGTTTGCCTCCAGATGGTGCTAGGGAACAGGTGTGCAATAGTCTTAAGAATATTAATGTGATTGACATCAATGATTAGTAATCATGTTGTCATCGGAGATGCTAAACAGGTGATACTAGACAGCACCAGACACGTGCTTCCTGCTGCCTGTGTGACGGGAAGGCTCCCAGTATTGCATGGGAGATGCTCCTGGTAAAAAGTCAGGCAGCGTCCAAATGTTTGCAGAGTTTTGGCCTTATTATTCTCTATGAAATTCTTAGCCTTGGATGAAAACACTGGTTTTGCAAAAAAGGGAATATCAAGTATTTAGTCTGCTCAAAATCCCTCTCTCTGCAAGGGGGTAACATTGCTCTGGTTCAGGCTTAGCCTCCCAGTCGATGATGCCTGGCCTGAGCTCTTGAATTCCTTTTGCTGCTGCAGTGCTGCAAAAACCCGTAGACACGCTCACATCCTGCAGCTCCCAGCTGGGCAGGGCACTGCCGAGGGCAGCCAGCCCCACATGGGCTGTGGGGAGCTCTGTGGGACAGCCTGTGCCCCCTGTCCCTGCAGCAGCAGGGTCCAGAGGCGCTTGCTGCGGCGCGGGAGCGTGGTTGGGGCTGGGGAAGGAGGCACGGGGTTTCTTCCCCCTGGGCAAGAGAAACCGGGCATTGCAGCAGCTGTGGGTAGGGCGAGCCTGGCAGGGTGCCCGCAGCAGAACAGACCGACTTTGTCCTCTCCTTAGACCTGCAGCGCCTGAACTCAGTCATGGCGTAGGTGGCCTGGCGCTCCAGAAAAGGAAAATGCGGTGTCATTCCCACACCGTCTTGGCATCCCTAACGCCAAACAAGGGTCAGAAGTAGCACCCTTTCCCCAGTGCCGCTGGTTTTGCTGTGCGAGCTGTGCCCCAGCCCCCTGCAGTCAGCGCTGGGGGGGCGGCAGGCGCCGGAAGTAAAATCGTTGCTTTGCGCAGGAAACGCAACTTTTGAAGGTGCTCACTCAAGACTGGTGGTAGCTAATGTGCCGGGGGGAGAAAGTGTGGTTTTCACGCTGGAAAACATCGTTGATCCCTTGGCAGTCATCCTGTGTCTTTACGTCGAAAGGGGAATTTAACAGAGAGCTTGCATTTCTGCCTGCAGTCCCAGGCTAACGCCTGGTCCAGAGGGGCTCGGGAAGGCTGGACAGCTCATGAGGGAGCCATGTGGCTGCACACCATGAAACTCTGGATCCCCACAAAGGCTGGCCATAGCAGCGTGTGTGCTGAACCCTGTTGCAGCCTCTCAGGTTGTCTGGACAAGCCATGTCCCCTCCTATGTAGCATAGGACACTGGAGTGGCCAGGGACATACTAGGGGAAGGACCCAGTGCAAATTTAGCTGGATGCTGTGTTTAGCTTTTGGGAAACCTGAGGGGAAATGAGAGAGAAAGCACAGAGTTAGTGGAGACCCAAGTTTTCTTTTCAGTCATGCCATTAATTTGGGGGGACACTAACAGCCCCAGTGACCTCTCTCACAGAGATGGAATGGCACAGATGGTCTGCAGCAGTATGGAAAGCGGTAGGTCCCAAGCTCCATCTGGTAACTTTAGCCATCACCTTTCCGTGGGATGCTACAAACAGCAGATCTGATTGCACTTTGTATGACTCCTCATGTCTCTTTATCTTGCAGGATGTATATAATGTGACAGAAAAATCAAGAAAGGTTTGTGATTTCTTTGGCATAATTAGTGCCTTCAGAGTGCCTCGCTTGTTAATCAGTACTCTGTTATTGATGCAGCTCTGGCTGGTGCAGCTCTGGCTGGTACAGCTTCTGCCAGAAAAAAAAGCCCCACATCACTTGGTTCTTTCCAGGCTTAAAATAATGCACACAGATGCACTGTGTGCACTAGGGACTCCCACACGTGCAAGGCCTTACAGTGAGTGGATAGCTTAACACCAGGCATAAATAATGAGGGGGATGCAGGGTGACGGTAATAATGCGAAGGTACTTTCCATAGGCTGAGATGTGAAGCTTGTAGATCTAGAGAGCTTCTAAAGTGGATTTGTGTGTTGATAGAGACAAAATAGTGGACCAGCGTATGCCGTCAATGGCTACCAAATCACACAGAGGTACTTTGCACCTTCTTTCTTCAATGAGCACCTTGAATCAATAGCAGGGGCTGGAAGGATGCTGAAATTACAATTCCTTGGCTGGCTGGTGTCGTCGCCCTTTCACCACCCATGCCAAGCTGCTTGCAGACTCCTGTGGAACAAGACAAATGATTTTGCCTGAAGGCCAAGTGACTTGCAAGAGTGGAGTGGGTATAGTAGGACTAAAAGGTTCAGCGTAAGTCACTTGAACTCCTCAGATCCTGGAAATCCCCTCTGAGTTCAGGACCAACAGCTAAGACTCTAAGGGCTCTATCTGTGCTCACTCAAGTAGTTTTTGGAGGGCTGCAGGTGGATCATCCTCCCGGGGCCTTTCTTCTGAAACTTGTTCTTAGTCATGGACTAACAGGGCCTGAATCTGCTGAACTCTGGGACAAACTGCGAGGGTGATGAGTTTGTCCAGATTTCGACATGGGAACAAGCGAGGAGATGGTGATGAGGCCAAGTGGATGATAAGCTGTTTAATCCTGCTGTTTATTGTGATAAGAGTTTAAACAAATTGACCAAAGACTTTTACTGGAGGTGCTTCCAACAGGCTCCTATGCAATGCATAGATAGGCTCTTTCGAGGCAAAAGCAAATAAATAATTGGCTGGAAATGCAACTTTCATCACTAATGAACTTCTGCTTTTGTTTGTTTTTTCATTAATGCAGGCTGGGGTTCGATCCTCTGTTCCCGTTACAGAGCAGGAAAACGAATTTGAGAGAGTCACTGGCTTAGCAGAAAGGTTTGTTGTTCTTCTCTTTGCTTTCTATACGGAGTACAAAGATACAGCTGAGATCAAAGAAAGGATACGAATTGCCATAGCACCTAGTTGTCTCAGCATTTTCCTCTTCAGCAGGTGGTTATCCATCCATTCATTTCCCCTGCTGGGGTTGGCTTTTCTATCGGTGTGAATCGGTGGGGGCATGGGCATGATAACCCTCATTGCACCGCGAAGTACCCCCTCCAGGGCCTGGCAAATTTTTATGCCCCTCTTTGAGCTGCTGTGAATGACAAAATGGTGAGAAAACATAGTGAAGATTATGGCCCTGATGAACCCGTGCCTGGGGCAGGAACTGATACTCATGTCCCCAAGTGCACGGAGAGATGCTGCCAACAGGGTGCTTAATGCAAACACAGGAGATCAGTGCCACTACCCGTGCCCGGGTCTGCTGATGAAAATGGTGGTGTGGTTCATATGAAAAAGCAGAAACAATGAGGCACTGGGACAAGGAGTCTGTAGGAGCAAGATGTAGCACCTCTCTGCCCTAGAAAACAGCATAACGAGCAGTGCCGGTGTTTGGCTTGGCTGCTACAGAGGGCTTTGGTGCACAGAGCCGCTGGCGCGTGGAGCACTTGTCATGTAGTGAGTGCGCAGGTGGCATCAAGAAACTTAAGACAAAGCTGAAAAAAAGTGTAGAGAAGTGGCACATGCACAGAACA